TTATCTAATCCATAAATATAGGCATGCAAGAAAGTACTTTCTTTAAAGTCAGTTTACATTCATGTCTAAGCCTTTTTCCATCAGCGTTGTGGCAACACTTCATCTCCCTCCTTATTAGTTCCCTGTCACTGTCCGACGGCGCCGGGACAATGAAGAGGTCCCCGGAGTTGGCGCAGAGCCAAGCACCCAGGGACCTCCCATAGGCGTCAGTCCGGGCTCATGACTGCCGAAATGCTCCAGTCCCTTGCCTTCCGTGTGGGCGTGCCGGTCACCAACTCCCTCAGCTGCCCCTGCGGTCCTCTCTTCTGGACATCTCCATAAAATGGCAGTCGGCCTTCCTCTAATCTTGGGATACTTCCATTCCTTTCTTCCCAGAACAGTTCTTTTTCTCCTAATTTTCTTTTTTTCTTTTTTTTTTTTTGAGACGTAGTCTCGCTGTGCCGTTCAGGCTGGAGCGCAGTGATGCAATCTTGGCTCACTGCAGCCTCCACCTCCTGGTTCAAGCAATTCTTGTGCCTCGGTCTCCTGAGTAACTGGGACTACAAGCATGCGCCACCACACCTGGCTAATTTCTGTATTTTTAGTAGATACTGGATTTTGCCATGTTGGCCAGGCTGGTCTCAAACTCCTGGCCGTAAGTGATCGACCCACCTCTGCCTCCCAAAGTGCTGGGACTACAGGTGTGAGCCACCGCACCCAGCCTTTTCTCCTAATTCTTAAAAGCATCGCTCCTCTATCTATCCTACCACTAAATTCTTCCAAGCTTTTATAAAAGTCAGGAAGAGCCCTTGTCATCAAGCTTTCTGGAAAACACCCGCAGCAGCTGAATTCCAAGTCTGAACCGTCACCTGGAGTGGAGCTGGGAGATGGGAGAACAAACCGGGAAGGTAAATGGAGGGAGACAGAATATAGGTTGTCACCGCCTACCTTGTAAAAGGAACCATTTTTCCCCTTACTTTCCCCCCCAGTATTTTTTTTTTTTTTTTTTTTTTTTTTTTTTTGAGACAGAGTCTTGCTCTGCCGCCCAGGCTGGAGTGCAGTGGCCAGATCTCAGCTCACCGCAAGCTCCGCCTCCCGGGTTTACGCCATTCTCCTGCCTCAGCCTCCCGAGCAGCTGGGACTACAGGCGCCTGCCACCTTGCCCGGCTAGTTTTTTGTATTTTTTAGTAGAGACGGGGTTTCACCGGGTTAGCCAGGATGGTCTCGATCTCCTGACCTCATGATCCGCCCATCTCGGCCTCCCAAAGTGCTGGGATTACAGGCTTGAGCCACCGCGCCCGGCCCCCCCGAATATTTAAAAAGATCTTTCGTGTTTGCCTGAAATTCTATCCAATCCAGAAATTATTCCCATTTCCTTCCACTATTCCTCATAAGACAGAGTTCCTGGTGTTTTACCCTACCTCAGTCTGCACTTGTCTGCCCATGTCTCTCTTAAAATACAGTGCCAGGGCCCAAGTTCAGCATGGAAGGTGTGTTCTACCAACGCAGAGGGTCACAGGGCTTGGAGAATAGCCATTGTTTTGTGGAATGCACTATTAATAAAGCGTAAGATCATAACAGCTTTCTCCCCAGACACAGCATTCTGTGACTTATATTGCATTTGCAGTCAGATAGAACTGCCTATTCTCTTTCTAGCCCTTTCTCCAGGATGTGTGCTCACTGTCACGCAGGAAGCCATCATACGCAGGGCACTCACACCCACAGCTACCAGACTCTGAAGAAGATGGCATTTCTTCTGGTGTTGCCATCACTTCATTCCATCGGCCAAGTTCTTCTTTGTGGCTCAAGGAATGTTAGCTCTTTGAGATATCATCAACAAAGCACGTGAAATTGTCAGAGGATGAGCTTTCAGGAAAATCCTACTGACAACAGCCAAGTGGAAGTCAGAGTCTCCGTCCTCAGTGACCTGTCTTTGTTCCTTAGGTTAGAGCACCCTCATTCACATCTTCTTTCTGCGGCGGTAGTCAAGATGCTTACGTGGGATAAAAACCCTATCAATTCAGGCTAATTGGAGGGAAGGCCGTGGAATGAGGGAAATGTCAAGTATATTCAGTAACCAAAAAGTATGCTAATAAAGGGTTGCTAAGTAGAAAAACATTCTTGGAAACTATCTCTAAGAACTATTTTAATTATCACACAAACTGCTTGTATGGTGCATCTATAAAGTTTGACCTCAGTTTGTTCTCAAGCAGCATTACTTGCTGGGACAGCCTTTTTATGAGCTCAACGCTGCACTCCTACTTGAGCTCAGTATGATTAGTACAAATTACAAATTACTAGGTTTCATGTTAATGAGATTTTCATGCCATAAGGATTACAGGGTCTTGGAGACAGAAGGAATCTTAGTGGGAATTGAATCCAATCTTTTATCCATTTCTAGAAGCCTCTGCTTGACTGTTTCCTGAGCCAGAACCACACATAGGAGAGGATAATGCAGTCCATCAAAAACACTGCTCTAGAAAATAGAAAACGGGGCCGGGCACGGTGGCTCACGCCTGTAATCCCAGCACTTTGGGAGGCCGAGGGAGGTGGATCACCTGAGGTCAGGAGTTCAAGACCAGCCTCGCCAACGTGGTAAAACCCTGTCTCTACTAAAAACACAAAAAATTAGTGGAGCATGGTGGCACACGCCTGTAATCACAGCTACTCGGGAGGCTGAGGCAGGAGAATCGCTTGAACCCAGGAGGCGGAGGTTGCAGTGAGCTGAGATTGTGGCTGGGTGAGGAAGCTTAATGGAGATGGTGTGCTCACAGAATTCCCGGCATTCCTCCCTCTGTTGCCTGCTGAAGTCCGGGGTTGCCTCCGCCTGGCCCAGTGTCAGGCTGGCTTCTGACTCTCTCGGCAGTAAGGGCTGAGTCTCCTCCCTAGAGCTCTGCGATTTCGTGACATGCCTTGTGGGTCTTGTTCATTCTTTGCTCAGGCTGGAACTCATTTATTTTAAATGTTTTAGCTACTCACTGAACCAAAAAATGTATCTTTATTCTTTCATTTTTCATCTCTTTGTCTTTTGGTTTTACCTTCTGAGAGTTTTTAAAGATTTTATCTTCCAACCTTTCTTTTGAGGTTGGCGTTTTTGCTCTCATAGTTTAATTTTTTTTGCACAAGCTTTTGTTTCCTTGAATACATTTCTTTTTTAAGCGTTCTGTTCTTGTTTCATGGGTTCAATATCTACTTCTCTCTCTAAGGATGTAAATTCGAGCATTTTTATTCCTTGAGGTGTTCTCCCTGCGCGGCGCCCATTTCCTCCGAATGGCTTTCTGTTTGTCCTGTTTCTGTGTGAACTTGACCGTGGATGCTTTCCCCAGGAGTCTGAAGATTTGGCGCTGTCCACCCAGCAAAGCAGCCACTACCAGGCTGACTGCAGCTCTGTGTGTGGCCACATTGTTCTGTGATCTTGGGGGAAGCCTCATGTGAGACCCTTTCCTGTTAGGATCTTCGTGGCTTTCCAAGTGGATGAATGAGGTCCTTTAAAGGAAAGTGTTCAAACGCCTTGTCTGGGAGACAGTAATCCTTTGGCTGCCAGTGTTCCGAGAGCCAAGCGAGGAAGAGGAGGTGGCCTCAGACTCAAACCCTCCCGGGAGATATCTCTCTCTGTGTGGCCCAGAGAACTCACCTTCTCCAGGCGCCGGCCACAGCGGGGGTCACTCACCTTCTCCAGGCGCCGGCCACAGCGGGGGGTCACTCACCTTCTCCAGGCGCCGGCCACAGCGGGGGTCACTCACCTTCTCCAGGCGCCGGCCACAGCGGGGGGTCACTCACCTTCTCCAGGCGCCGGCCACAGCGGGGGGTCACTCACCTTCTCCAGGCGCCGGCCACAGCGGGGGGTCACTCACCTTCTCCAGGCGCCGGCCACAGCGGGGGTCACTCACCTTCTCCAGGCGCCGGCCACAGCGGGGGTCACTCACCTTCTCCAGGCGCCGGCCACAGCGGGGGTCACTCACCTTCTCCAGCGCCGGCCACAGCGGGGTCACTCACCTTCTCCAGGCGCCGGCCACAGCGGGGGTCACTCACCTTCTCCAGGCGCCGGCCACAGCGGGGGTCACTCACCTTCTGTGAGAGGTGGAGGAGCAGCGGGGGGGTCACTCACCTTCTGTGAGAGGTGGAGGAGCAGCGGGGGGGTCACTCACCTTCTGTGAGAGGTGGAGGAGCAGCGGGGGGGTCACTCACCTTCTGTGAGAGGTGGAGGAGCAGCGGGGGGGTCACTCACCTTCTGTGAGAGGTGGAGGAGCAGCGGGGGGGTCACTCACCTTCTGTGAGAGGTGGAGGAGCAGCGGGGGGGTCACTCACCTTCTCCAGGCGCCGGCCACAGCGGGGGTCACTCACCTTCTCCAGGCGCCGGCCACAGCGGGGGTCACTCACCTTCTGTGAGAGGTGGAGGAGCAGCGGGGGGTCACTCACCTTCTGTGAGAGGTGGAGGAGCAGCGGGGGATCACTCACCTTCTCCAGGCGCCGGCCACAGCGGGGGTCACTCACCTTCTGTGAGAGGTGGAGGAGCAGCGGGGGGGTCACTCACCTTCTGTGAGAGGTGGAGGAGCAGCGGGGGGGTCACTCACCTTCTGTGAGAGATGGAGGAGCAGCGGGGGGGTCACTCACCTTCTCCAGGCGCCGGCCACAGCGGGGATCACTCACCTTCTGTGAGAGGTGGAGGAGCAGCGGGGGGTCACTCACCTTCTGTGAGAGGTGGAGGAGCAGCGGGGGGTCACTCACCTTCTCCAGGCGCCGGCCACAGCGGGGGTCACTCACCTTCTGTGAGAGGTGGAGGGGCAGCGGGGGGTCACTCACCTTCTGTGAGAGGTGGAGGAGCAGCGGGGGGGTCACTCACCTTCTCCAGGCGCCGGCCACAGCGGGGGTCACTCACCTTCTGTGAGAGGTGGAGGAGCAGCGGGGGGGTCACTCACCTTCTGTGAGAGGTGGAGGAGCAGCGGGGGGGTCACTCACCTTCTGTGAGAGGTGGAGGAGCAGGCTTCTTGCCCCATCTCCAGCGAGCCTTTTATTTCAGGCCTGCCTTCACCCGACACCCATGGATGCTGATGCTCCCGTTCTATGCCTCTCGGGTTTGAGCTGCAAACGTGCTTGCCTGCGGCTCTGCTGTCCTTCGGCTTCCTCGGTAGGATGTGCGGACACCACTGGCCCAGCTCCCACGGCTCCTCGCCCATGCCTCCTCTTCCATTTTGTTTGTCCTGAAAGGCTTGTACCACATCCTTCTTTCCTCCTGTTTATCAAGACAGGGTCTGGCTCTGTCACCCAGGCTGGAGTGCAGTGGTGCAATCATGGCTCACTGCAGCCTCAAACTCCTGGGCTCAAGTGATCCTCCCACCTCAGCCTCCTAAGTAGTTGGGACTACAGGTGTGCGCCACCATGCCCGGCTATCTTTTTGAATTTTTTATAGAGATGGGGTCTCACTATGTTACCCAGGCTGGTCTTGAACTCCTGGCCTCAATCAATTCTCCTGCCTTGGCCTCCCGATGTGCTGGGATCACAGATGTGAGCCACCACACCCAGCCTCCTCCTTCTTCTTTTTCTCCTTCTCTATCTTCGTCGCCTCTAGTGTCTTTTTAGAGAGATTTTTAGATAGAAGCAAAATTAAATCACACACACACATACACACACAAAACCCACACATACAAGAACCCACGGTGTATTCAATTCATCTACAACCTAAGTCCCTTTCTGCTTTTTCAAACAACGTTATGCTCCAAATAGGGATAAACTGAAATAATGAGTGAGTCCATGAAGCCTCTCTCTCCCAAACAGCAAAGCCACTGCCGGGAAGGGGCCTGAGCTCTGTTTCCATGGTTGCTTCCTTTGCTTGTTTGACATAAATCAGCTGAGGATTCTAAACCAAAATGTCACCTGCTTAGTTCTCATGCTAAGCAGCAGACGTCAGTCATCTCCCAACGTGTGACGTCACCCTGTTTTCTTTACAGCATCGGGTCTTGCTATCTAGTAGGTGCCAGTTAACAAATGTTTGAACAACTTGGCGAATAAACAACCGTTTCATCGATTATTTAACGAATCAGCACCTGGTGAGTGCAGAAATGACTCTAAATGGCATGTTTCCTTTCTTCTTTAGTTTGTTCCTGCTTCTATACAAGTATCTGCCAGTTGTTGATTCTTCCAGAGCGTCTGCTGTGTTCTTGGTGTCTCTGACAAGACTGTAAGCTGCCTGAAAATACGGATCGCCTTCGAATTGTAGAACTGAGAAATGGCGGGGAGCAGGCACAGTGTCTTTGAGATGATCCAGGAGCCACACAGAGGCGGGGAAATGAGAGCAGAGAAACTGGCCCAGGCCCAGGGGGCCTCGGAGTCCAGGCGGGACCTTGGTCTCTGATTGTGCCTCAGAAGTGAATCAGCACCGCCGCCTTCTGTCCTTGGGATGCTCCACTGAGCACCACCGTGGGATTCGCCAACAGCCACGCAGGGCCCTCGGCCCGGCCTTGCCCCACGGGCACTCCTGGCAGGACAGACAGACACACGGCTGGAAGGATGCGTTCTCCCAAGGAAACTGGTGCTGTGTGGACCACAGGCAGGTGGGTGCTGAGCTGTGAGGACCTAGCAGGTGCCCCGTCCACTCCCAGCCTGACCCTGCATGGTTCCCAGGCAGTCCTCTCGGGCCTCAGCATGTAAGGCAGCCCCAGGTGGAGGCCTTGCCTGGGATCATGCGTCATAGCCTGTGCGTCTACACCAAATGCGTGTCAGTGTTCTGTAAGCCTCACTCCCAGGGCTCCCGTGGAGGCCTGGCCCCGCAGTAGGTGTTGATCCTGTCCACCCAGCTCAGAGCTGTGCTCTCCTGAGCTGTCCATGCCCACGACAAACACACGACTGCTGAGGTCCCTCTCTCCCCACAGCCCCAGCACCCCATAGTCAGCATAGTCCTGGCCGCTGTTGCCTTTTCATCACAAACACCCTCATCAGTTAGCGGGGCCAACAGCATTATCCTCAGAGGCGTCAGGAAAACCGGTGTCACTCTGGGCACACACTTGGACCCTGTGTTTTGTGGCCCATGACCTTTAAAGTCGATGTGGCCCTCGACGTCTGATACGTTCATTGAGCCAGATCTCTGCTAACTTCAGCACATTCCAGTTTTTATGGAGCCCAAATTGATTATCTCCTGCAACAACATTTGACATCCTGGTTTCAGGTTCCTTCATCTATCCTTGGCCCTAATCCACAGATTTCTGGGGACTGTGCCCTAGCCCACAGAAAAAAATAAATAAATAAAAGGAAAAAAAAATGACATGTAACTATGTTACTAAAATGTTACTAAAATCATATTTTAAAAAATGAATCTGGGCTGGGCGTGGTGACCCACGCCTGTAATTGCAGCACTGTGGGAGGCTGAGGTGGGCAGATCATGAGGTCAGGAGTTCAAGACCAGCCTGACCAACATGGTAAAACCTGTCTCTACCAAAAATACAAAAGTTAGCCAGGCGTGGTGGCGGGCGCCCGTAATCCCACCTGCTCGGGAGGCTGAGGCAGGAGAAAAATCTGAACCTGGGAGGTGGAGATTACAGTGCGGAGATCAGGCCACTGCACTGCAGCCTGGGCAACAGAGCGAGACTCTGTCTCAAAAATATGAATAAAAAGATTCAGATCACCCTCAACTCATAGCCAGGTTTCTACATGGGGGCATTTACATTTTCAGGCCTTAGAGCTTGCTTATGGAACTTACCATATTCTCCCTGCTATGGCTTGAATGTGTCCCCCAAAAAATACATGTTAGAAACTTAATCCCCAAGGCAACAGCACTGGGAGGTGGGGCCATATGGGAGTGTGTGGGTCACGAGGGCTCCACCCTCATGAAGGGATTAATGCTGATGCAACTTTGAGCCCGTGCTCTCTCTTGCCCATGTGACTGATGCCTTCCACCATGTTATGACATGGCAGGAAGGAACCTCGATCTTGGACTTCCCAGCCTCTGGAACCATGAGCCAAATAAACATAGACTATTTCTTAATTACCCAGCCTGTGGTGTTCTGCTATAGCATCACAAAACGGACTTAGACATTCTCTTATATTGTCATTGAAGGCATCTTTTCTTCTTTATTAGGTTGAATTTGTAAACTCCTGGAAGATGCGGACCATAACCCATTCATCTTTCTATTTCCCACACTTCTGGTTAGACACCAGAGGAATTATGACATTTTAATATATCCAAAAGCCCCCAGGAGAACAGGCAAATGCCCGGCCCTGTGCTGATCATTCAGATTCTGCACGTTGGAGGCAGGAACCCAGCTCTCTAAGCCATGTGTGACGAGTGGTCCTCAGAGCACATGTCAAGAAATAGCAACGTGGTGGATAAGAAGCACGTGTTTAAATGAACCAAGAAAGAAGATGATAGGGTGAGAAAGATCCACAGTCACTCACTTGTGAAGTCAGAGTGTCTCTGGAACTCACGCTTCATGAACTTGACATGCTTCTGTCTTTCTACCCCGTTTTAAACATATGGTTAAAAATAGTAGGTCACTGTGGTGATCCTGGGGTGTGGGGGAGGACCAAGGCCTGGACTACCATGGTATATGGGGTGCAGAGAGCAGGCATACGGCCACAGGCTGGAGGAAGGAGAGGGAGAAAGGAAATGCCATGGCAAGTGTGGGAAACGCTACTGCTGCACAATTTAGCACAAGCTTAGAGTGGAGAACAACACCCAGCTATCACCTCCGCTTCTGTAGGTCAGAATTCTGTGCACGTGAAGCTCAGCCCTCTGCCCAGGGTCTTGGGAGGCTGCATCTGGAGTTCAGGTGGTCTTCCGAGCTCACTGAGGCTGTGGTAGAAGTCAGACCCTGTGGTTGTCTGAGGGAGGTCCCTGGCTTTGGCTGGCTGTTGGCCAGCGGGAGTTCAAAGCTTAGGTCTCTGCATTCTTCCTTGAGGCCAGCCAGAGGAAAAGTTTGCTTTTTAAGGGCTCACCTGATTGGGTCAGGCCTACTCGATATTATTTTTCTTTTGATTAACTGAGTCAGCTGGCTTGGGACCTTGATTCCATCTAAAAATCCCTTTTGCCACATGACATAGCATAATCACAGGATTTGTATCACACCAAGCTAACAGGCTTGTCGCACATACAACAGGAGGAGGGTCACTGAGGACAGTCATCTCTGTGTCAAGGAAGCCAAGTTCTTATTTTGAGCCCTGACCTCTCCCTTGGACTCTTATGGACTGAGTTGCGTGTCCCCAAATTTACACGTTGAAGTCCTAACCCCCATGTGACTGTATTTGCACATGGGGTCTAGATGAGGGTAATAAGGTTAAATGAAGTCATATTGTTGGGCCCTAACCCAAAAGGATTGGTATTCTTTTTTTTTTTTTTTTGAGACAGAGTTTCACTCTTGTTGCCCAGGCTGGAGTCCAGTGGTGTAATCTCGGCTCACTGCAACCTCTGCCTCCTGGGTTCAAATGATTCTCCTGCCTTAGCCTCCCAAGTAGTTGGAATTACAGGCACGAGCTACCACACCTGGCTAATTTTTTTGTATTTTTAGCAGAGATGAGGTTTGTCACATTGACCAGGCTGGTCTCGAACTGCTGACCTCAGGTGATCCACCGTCCTTGGCCTCCCAAAGTGCTGGGATTACAGGTGTGAGCCACCGTGTCCGGCCTAGGATTGGTATTCTTATAAGAAGAGGAGATGGGGACACACAAGTGCACAGAGGGAAGATGAAAGGAAGACACAGGGAGAAGTTGCCAGCTATGGTTTGGATATTTGTCTCCCCAAACCTCGTGTTGAAATGTGACCCCCAGTGTTGGAAGTGGGGCCTAGTGGGAGGTGTTCAGGTTATGGGGCTGGATCCCTCAGGAACGGCTTGGTGCTGTCCTGGCAGGAATGAGAGAGTTCTTGCTCTATGAGTCCCCCCAAGAGCTCATTGTTGAAAAGAGCCTGGTGCCTTCGCCCCTCTCTCATCTCCCCTCTGGCCACATGATCTCTGCACAAGCAGCTCCCCTTCACCTTCCGCCATGAGTGGACCTTCCTGAGGTCTCACCAGAAGCAGATGTTGGCACCACACTCCTTGCACAGCCTGCCGAACTGTGAACCAAATAAACCTCCTTTCTTTATGAATTACGCTGCTTCAGGTGTGCCTTTATAGCAACACAAATGGACTAAGACAACAGCCATCAGTGAGCCAAGGAGAAATATGAGTTTCTGACCTACATCATTTTCCTTCTCTGAAGAACTTCTTGTAACATTTCTTACAAGGCAGATCTACTGACAACAAATCCCCTTAAGGTAATTTCACTGGACATAGAACTCTAGATAGGTGGTTTTTTCTTCCCACGTTCCAGCAGGCATCAGTGGCAGTTTGGTGTTCCTGCTGGTACTGGATCCACACGGCGCTTCCGCTCCGTTCAGCTGTGCTCCTGTGCGTGCTCCTGCCTCTCTGGGGTTTTGGGCAGTGGTTTTTCCCTATGCCTCGATTCTGTGGCAGAGCAAAGAAAAGGCGTCGATTTTCAGATGGTTCAGTTTTTTTCTTATTCTGAGAGTATAAGTGATGACATCCCAGCTCCTTACACGCCAGACTGGAGTCCTGAATGCTCTATGGGGTCCACGAAATTAACCATATTAATTAAATAATGAATTGATAAATCATTTGGTAATGACCCTCTCTTCCATTCTTTTTCTCTTTTCTTTTTTTTTTTTTTTTGAGACAGAGTCTCACTCTGTCGCCCGGGCTGGAGTACAGTGGCGCAATCTCGGCTCACTGCAACCTCCGCCTCCCAGGTTCAAGTGATTCTCCTGCCTCAACCTCCAGAGTAGCTGGGGTTACAGGTGTGCTACCACACCCAGCTAATTTTTTGAATATTTTTAGTAGAGATTGGGTTTCACCATGTTGGACAAGCTGGTCTCAAACTCCGACCTCAAATGATCCACCCTTCTTGGCCTCCCAAAGTGCTGGGATTACAGGCGTGAGCCACCGCACCCAGCCGCACCCAGCGCCTCTCTCTGATCTTAGGGGGTGAGCCACCACACCCAGTGCCTCTCTCCATTCTTAGTCCACAGTTTACATTGGAGGTCAGTCTTGCTGTTGCACATTATATGGGTTTGGACAAATGTATGATGACATGGATCCACCACTACAGTATCCTACAGAATCATTTTACCGGCCTAGTAATCCTCTGTGCTCCCCCACTCATTCCTCCCCGTCTGTCAACCCCTGGCAATCACTCACCTTATTACTGATCTTATTATTCCCAGTTCCGCCTTTTCCAAAATGTCCTGTCGTTGGACTCATAGAGAATGTGGCTTCTTTAGATTGGCTTCTTCCACTTAGTGACATGCGTTCAAGGTTCTTCCATGCCTTTTCATGGCTTGTAGCTCATTGTTTTTATTGTCGAACCATCTTGTTTCCAACAACTGCAATACATTTCATAATGAAGAATGCCCATGTGTGGGTGATTCATGAGGGGACACGAGGAGATGGGGTTGACGAGGAGGTGGGATTGATGAGGAGATGGGGTTGACGAGGAGGTGGGGTTGACGAGGAGGTGGGATTGATGAGGAGTTGAGGTTGACGAGGAAGTGGGATTGACGAGGAGGTGGGATTGACGAGGAGGTGAGGTTGACGAGGAGGTGGGATTGCCGAACCAGCAGGAATGCCTGCTTTACACCTTTCACCAACAAATGCTGCCAAATTTCCCTTCCTAACCATTGCATCACTAGGGGAGAATACGCATATTTCCACACCCTGTAGCCCATTATCGCACATTTTCAGGAATAAATTTTCCAAACTTCTCTGAGGGTGTCCTGGGACCACACACTCTATATCCAAACTCAGCCAGCACCCACTGTCAACCACCTTGTCCACCTGCCCTGCCCTGCCATCTCCAGGGACTCAGCGGCCACCAGTCCAGGGCCGTTGCCTGCAGGGACCTCAGGTGGAGCGTCCTTCCTCCACCCAGAGATGCCACAATTCCAGATGCCACCCCTCCTGGCTGAAGGTGCTCCTCCCAGGCTCTTTGTCCTTCTGGTCTAATGTGTTTTGTTTCTGTCTGTTCTTTCAGAATTAATGTTTCATGTTCAACCTGAAGTCTGATGAGTCCTTTAAGTCCACGCTGGGACAGTGGATGATGTGGGCAGCAGGCCTGTGACTCCACGTGGACCCCCATGAATGCTGTCAGCGTGTCTACGCGAAGCTGTGCCATTTACAGGAGAAACACTGGGTGGTGAGACTTGGATGAGGTCAGCAGAGAAAGCGGCTAAACAGATTCAGCCGTCCCCTCAGGTGACTGTGGAGCTATGAAGACCTAAGGCAGGTACTTCTGTGCTAGCAAGGAAGGATGTTTATGATATAATTTGAGGGGAAGATATAAATCAGAGGTGTGGGGTGTGCAGAGGCCCCTGCCTTCCCCAGTGGGTGGACAGTACCTACACTGACACCCCCATCAAGCGAAAGGTACTTGCCTTAGGCTGCAGGGTGCTTAAACATTTCAAAGGTCAATTGAAGAAAGAAGTAGAAAGAACATTAGGAGAGGTAGTGGTGCGTGCCGAGGCACTGAGTGTGAGGAACAAGGTGCTTTCACGGGCTGTCTGCGCCCAGGTGCAGCCGGCGTCCCTGGGCCTGACAGTGGCCGGATAGGCAGGTCCCGGAAGAGGCATGTTTGCAAGCACCCAGCTAAGCCAGGGAGCAGCCGACCAGCAAAACAGGTCAGCTCTCGGGGACTCTTCAACCCCAGGGCTGTGGGGAGCACTGCGTGGATTTTAAGCAAATCCAAGTGACAAAACCAATGGGCATTTAGAAATATCATCACAGTTACACGTAGAAAACTAACTGGAGGCCAAGTAACTGGAGGCCAAGCACCGTGACTCACACCTATAATCCCAGCACTTTGGGAGGCTGAGGCAGAAGGACTGTTTGAGCCCAGGAGTTTGAGACCAGTCTGGGCAACATGACGAAACCCCATCTCTACAAACAATACAAACATTAGCCAGGCATGTGCACACTTGTGGTCCCAGCTACTCAGGAGGCTGAAGAGGGAGGAGGGCTTGAACCCGGGAGGCAGAGGTTGCAGTGAACCAAGACCACACCACTGCACTCCAGCCTGGGCAATAGAGCCAGACCCAGAAAAAAAAAGAAAAGAAAAGAAAAGAAAATTAATTGAAAAGAGTAAGATTACAGGCAAGAATATTTTATAAAATCTCTAAGCATGATTCAAAAGGCCAAAATCATATCCCCCAAAAGCTTAGATTTAACCTTATCAAATTTTTATTATATGTGAGTGTCATAACAACACAATTAAGTCTACATATAACCCAAAAAATAATTCCATCACATATTAAAAAGCGTTTATATTTTTGGTATACAAAGTCCAACAATAAAATAAGAACACCAGCTCCAAAATCGACAAATAAGGAATTTGTATAAGTATCTAAAAACATTCATTATCAATCCCAAAATTGCCAATAGAATAATGAACTATAGGCCAGGTATGGTGGCTCATGCCTGTAATCCCAGCACTTTGGGAGGCCGAGGTGGGTGGATCACTTGAGGTCAGAGTTCGAGACCAGCCTGATCAACATGGTCTTTACTAAAAACAAAACAAAATCAGCCAAGTGTGATGGCACACACCTGTGATCCCAGCTACTCTGGAGGCTGAGGCAGGAGAATACTTGAACCCGGGAGGTGGAGGTTGCAGTGAGCTGAGATCATGCCACTGCACTCCAGCCTGGGTGACAGAGCAAGACCTTGTTTCAAAAATAAAAATAAAAGTAAAAAAAGAAGAGGGTCAGGAGAAGGACCAGATTCCCCGGAAGGACCAGCTTGCACTCTCCTGTCACAAAAGTGCTTACGAACAGTGAGCAGGGCTACTGGTTTGAGATTTGAGGCTTTGCTGTCTTCCCATTTGGAGTCCATTCCTATCACAGAATGACAGGGTGTAAAGGAGCAAACTGTTCACTCCATCTCAGGCTCCAGACGAGGCCTTGGAGATGTCAAGCTCTTCCTCAATATCTGCCTACATCATATCTCATGCATCGCCTTCCTGGCCCAAATTAAGAGCTCCTGTGGCGTCTCCTCTTTACCCTTCTCCTGACCCCGCAGGCCTAGCTCCAAGCCACATATCTCAGGCCTCGAGGGACTTTCCTCTCGGCTACAGGCCATGGCTCTAGCAACAGGTGTGGGAGCCCCGTATCCTGCAGCCCACAGCCCACCCTCCAGGGAGGAGTTCAGTCAGAACCTGCTTAGTGCTTGTCTTTTAGGCAGATTGGAATCCTAAGTTAAAGAATTTCTGGACTGGGCGCGGTGGCTCACGCCTGTAATCACGGCACTTTGGGAGGCCGAGGTGGGCAGATCACGAGGTCAGGAGATCGAGACCATCCTGGCTAACACGGCGAAATCCCGTCTCTACTAAAAATACAAAAACAATTAGCTAGGCATGGTAGCATGCGCCTGTAGTCCCAGCAACTTGGGAGGCTGAGGCAGGAGAATGGCGTGAACCTGGGAGGCGGAGCTTGCAGTGAGCCAAGATTGTGCCACTGCACTCCAGCCTGGGTGACAGAGTGAGACTCTGTCTCAAAAAAAAAAAAAAAAAAAATAGAATTTCACACTGCTTGAACCCCTTAGACACAGGCGTGCTCCTGGGCACGTAGTCAGGGGCTCCTGTGTACTCCCATAACATAACTGTGTAGTTTGTGGTGTCCGTCCAGCCCCAAGCTGCCGTCACACTCAGCTGTAGGGGTTGGCTTGGGTGTAGTTTGATGGGATCTGTCAGGATTCGTGGAGTCGTTGCCATCAGAGTCAGCTCCCAGAGCCTCTGTGCGAAGAAGGTGCCCATTTGGTGGATTAGCCGGAAACCTGTCGGGGGGCCTCCTGTCCTGCAGAGCCCACGTCCCCACCTCTGTGGGGCGCCTGGCAGGCTCTGGGGCAGGAAGTGGGAGCCTCAAACTGCAGGGGCCAGGGTGGGAGGGAAGGACACTCAGTCAGCAGGGAACAGTCGCCTCAGGTGGGAGCGAGAGGAGGAACTTGAGGCCAGGTTTCCGAATGGCCTCACACAGTTTCCTTTCTGCCAGGATTTTCAGAGGATTAGAGTTCTTTTTTCTTTCTTTCTTTCTTTCTTTTTTTTTAATTAACAGCGCAGTTTTAAGTTATTCCAGTGAACAGGGCGGTCTTTACTTTATTTCCTGTTAACAACTTAAAGCAGAAAGAACACTAAGCTCTCCAGATTTTGAAGTCAGGCAGCCTGGAAAAGCCCTTTAGTAACCATGGTGTTAGAAAACGTAAACTCCCCGTCCTGGGCAACAGGTGGAGACGCGTGTGGACAGGCTGTGGAGTGTCTTACTGAAGAGGCAGCGGCCTGAGCTGAAGGTCTTAGCGTTAGGAGCAAGGACGTGGTCTGATTGGCAGCATTTTGGAGGTTTATCAATTACTGGCACCAAAACCACAGAACAGGGAGTCATCTCAGGAAGTAGAGAAGTGCTAGAAACACTTCTAATCCCTTGGGGACTGGGGACAAGGAAGAATGACCTGGCAGTGTACTCAGGTACCTGCCTAAGCTGCCACCCCATCGCCTGCCTGGCGCCTGTGGTGTGGGCCCCCCACGGGCTGCAGTCCTGGCCGGGGCGAGGGGGCAGGGGCAGACCGAAGTGAGGCAGGGGTGGGGCCCTCAGTTCAGAAGTCGGGGTGTTACCTCCACCACCTCGGAAGGCCACGGGGGTGAAGAGGGAGGGAATGTGGGCCTACTGTTGGGAGGAGTGTCAGAGCCGCCCGAGAATGTGGCCGTGGGGTGGGAGCTGTCTTGGGGAGTGTGGGGAGGAGACACCTGCCACACGTGTGGTGCACCATCCCTGAGTGAATGCGCCCGGCCCGTACCCTGAAGGACTCTGCTGCCACTCATGGCTGCACCCTCAGACCCACGGGTCCCATTTAGGTTCTGTGGCCTCTCGGTCCCTTGACTCCAGGCAGTACCTGTGTCCTCCCGACCTCAGGCAGCCAAGGCCATGTCCCAACTCCCATTCCATGGGGCCCAACTTTTCACACCGCTTCTCTGACCCGCCGGTCTGAATGAGCCCGGCCACCCTCCCTGGCTCTGCCTCACACCCCATCTTTCCGTCACACTCACCACTGCCGGAGATTGTCCGTGTCACACACTTCTTTCCCAGTGGTGGTTTAGAGCCCCTTTTCGTCCGTGTCCCCACGTAGGAGGCCTGGAGCGGGAGCCCTTCCCCAGCCAGGCTGGTGGACACAGACTGCCATAAAAGACAGGCCTTTGGCTGAAGCTCTAGGTGGTCTTTGCCTTTGCAGCTCAAAGTGCTGCAGATGGCACAAAAACAAATGAGCATGTTCCCAAGGCCACGGAGATCCAGCCTGCGGGCCTGGGACTTCCTGGGCTGCCTGGTCGCCGGTGTGAGCAAGGGTGCAGCCCTCCCAGCCCGTGTCGCTCAGACAGGACTCCAGGATAAACCCATGTGGCTCTGCCTGTGGCTCTGCCTGTGGCTCTGCCCGGCAGGCCTGGCCTCGGCCTCGCACCTTACCTTCCCCTTGCTCCCGGTCAGCAAATGCCTCCAGGCTGAAGCGAGCTCCCGTCTTTCCTTGGAGCTTGCTCGGGGATTTCTCATGTCCTGTTATTCCTCTGATGTTTTCCAGAAGATTTTGAATGCTGCCTGTTCAGTGGTCTCCAGAGGGCTGGATTGCCCAGTCCACGAGTCCTGAGGCAGAAGCCTCACAACCGGCATGTCTTTATGCTTCTAGAGCATCCTGGGAGACGTCCTCCAGCAAACCCTGCCGATTACACACCGGAGCACATTCTGTTATGCAGTTGATTCTGGGCTGGTGTAATTTCTTCCTTTTAAAGGTTGTATGTTATGCAGTTAATTCTGGACTGGCATGATTTCTTCTTTTTTTTTTTTTTTTTTTTTTTTTTTGAGACGGAGTCTCGCTCTGTTGCCCGGGCTGGAGTGCAGTGGCTTGATCTCGGCTCACTGCAAGCTCCCCCTCCCAGATTCACGCCATTCTTCTACCTCAGCCTCCCAAGTAGATGGGACTACAGGAGCCCGTCACCATGCCTGGCTAATTTTTTTTTTTTTTTTTTTTTTGTATTTTTAGTAGAGACGGGGTTTCACTGTGTTAGCCAGGATGGTCTCGATCTCCTGACCTCATGATTCATCCGCCTTGGCCTCCCAAAGTGCTGGGATTACTGTGCCTGGCTGATTTCTTCCTTTTAAAGGTTGTATGTTAAACTCCCTGGAGCTCTGTCTGTGGGTCCTAGTGGCAGCCTCTTCTCGTCCTGGGATGCAACATCACCCTGGATGTCCCTGAAGGCACCACTTGGTCTCCTGTTTGAAGTTTCTGGCAAAGTGGACATTGTTTTTAATTCAACATCTCTGCAGACTGGACTTTCTTTCTTTCTTTTCTTTTTTTTTTTTTTTTGAGACAGAGTCTTGCTCTGTTGCCCAGGCTGGAGTGCAGTGGCGTGATCTTGGCTTATTGCAACCTCCACCTCCTGGGTTCAAGCAGTCAAGCAGTTCTAGTTGCCTCAGCCTCTCAAGTAGCTGGGATTACAGGCAACCACCACCACACCCGGCTAATGTTTGTATTTTAGTAGAGACAGGGTTTCACCATATTAGCCAGGCTGGTCTCAAACTCCTGACCTCAGGTGATCCACCTGCCTCAGCCTCCCAAAGTACTGGGATTACAGCATGAGCCACTGCACCCGGCCTGAAAATCTGTTAAAAAATAGAAATAAAGGGAAGCTTCCTCAACTTAATAAAGAACATCGATAAAACACCTGCAGCTAACAGGATACTTAATGGAAAAGACCGAAAGCTCCCAGCCTAAGATGAGGAACAAGGCAAGGATGTCTGTTATCACCACTCTGTTCAACATGGTGCTGGGAGTCCTAGCTATCGCAATAACGCAAAAAGGGAAATAAAAGGAAAAGAAGAAAGAGACAGAGAGAGAGAGAGACAGGCAGGCAGGCAGGAAGGAAGGATGGAAAGAAGCTGTCCCTATTTGCAGATGACACGATTGTCCACAGATAAAATCGCAAGGAATCTCAAAAGAAACCCTCCTACAACTAACAAGTGAGTTCGTCAGGATCACAGGATACATGACAAACATACAAAATTCAATAATATTTCTATATACTAGTAATGAATACAAAGTCACCAAAATGAATAATACAATATTATTTACAGTTACTCAAAAAAATACTTAGGTATAAATCTAAGACATGTACAGGATCTATATGCTGAAAACTACAAAACGCTAGTGAAAGAAATCAAAGAAAACCTAAATAAAGAGAGAGACGCAGGGTGTTCATTGATTGGAAGACTCACTATAGCAAAAATATCATTTTTCCCAAACTGATATATAGATTTAATGCAATTCCTATTGAAATGCCAGCAAATATCCTGCAGATATAGAGAAGATTTTTCTGAAATCTATATGTATGGACAAAGGAATGAGAGTAGCTAAAGCAATTTTGAAAAAGAATAAAGCAGGCCAGGCACGGTGGCTCACACCTGTAATCCCAGCACTTTGGGAGGCTGAGGCGAGCGGATCATGAGGTCAGGAGATTGGGACCATCCTGGCTAACACGGTGAAACCCCACCTCTACTAAAAATGCAAAAAATTAGCCGGGTGTGGTGGCGGTGCCTGTAGTCCAAGCTACTCGGGAGGCTGAGGCAGGAGAATGGTGTGAACCCGGGAGGAGCTTGCAGTGAGCCGAGATCGCACCACTGAATTCCAGCCTGGATGACACAGCGAGACTCTGCCTCAAAAAAAAAAAAAAAAAAAAAAGAAAAGAAAAGAAAAGAAGGCCGGGCGCGGTGGCTCAAGCCTGTAATCCCAGCACTTTGGGAGGCCGAGACGGGCGGATCACGAGGTCAGGAGATCGAGACCATCCTGGCTAATATGGTGAAACCCCGTCTCTACTAAAAATACAAAAAACTAGCCGGGCGAGGTGGTGGGCGCCTGTAGTCCCAGCTACTCGGGAGGCTGAGGCAGGAGAATGGCGTAAACCTGGGAGGCGGAGCTTGCAGTGAGCTGAGATCCGGCCACTGCACTCCAGCCTGGGCGACAAAGCGAGACTCCGTCTCAAAAAAAAAAAAAAAAAAAAAAAAAAAGAAAAGAAAAGAAAAAAGAAAAAGAATAAAGCGATGGACTCAATCTACCTGATTTCAAAATGGATCACAGACTTAAATGTAAAATGCAAAACTATAAACCTTTTAGAAAATAAACAGAGAAAATCTTTGGGATTGAAGACTAAGAAATGACTTCTTGCCAGCATCATAATATATACAATTTCTTACCAGCATCATAATATATAAAAGGAAAAATAGAAAAATTGGACTTCACAAAAAAATTGGACTTCACAAAAAATAAAAACTTTCGTTCTGCAAAAGACTATGTTAAGAAGATGAAAAGACAAGCTACAAACTGAGAAAAAATATTCTGAATAGATTCAAACTACATATCCAATACAGACTAGTGCCTCGAATATACAAATAACTCTCAAAACTCAATGGTAAAAAACAAAAACAAAAACAAAAAAAAACAAAAAAGCAAAGGCCAGGCACAGTGGCTCACGCCTGTAATCCCAGCACTTTGGAAGACCAAGGAGGGTGGACTGCTTGAGACCAGGAGTTCGAGACCAGCATGCACAACATGGCAAAACCTCAACTACACAGAAAAAACAAAAATTAGCTGGGCGTGGTGGTACACACCTGTAGTCCCAGTTACGTGGAAGGCTGAGGCTGCAGAGAGCTATTATCGCACCAGTGCACTCCAGCCTCCACAACACGGTGAAACCCTCTCTCCAAAAAAGAAAAAAAAAGTGGAGTTCAGTTAGAAAAATGGGCAAAAGACAGGAGAAAACATTTCACCAAAGAGGATACGAATGGCAAATAAGCACAAGAAGAGATGTCCGAGAGACTGATAAGAACATAATGGGCTCCTAGGGAAATGCAAATTAAAACAACAACAACACAGCGTTGCACATCTATCCACGTGGCTGAAAATAACAGGGTGATGCGGCCGCACGTTGGTGAGGACAGGGACAGCAGATCACTCACGCCAGGATGTAAGATGGCACAGCCGCCCGGAAAACAGGTTGGAGATCACTCACGCGGGGCTGGTGGGATGTAAGATGGCACAGCCGCCCGGAAAACAGGTTGGAGATCACTCACGCCGGGCTGGTGGGATGTAAGATGGCACAGCCGCCCGGAAAACAGGTTAGAGATCACTCAAACAGGTTGGAGATCACTCACGCCGGGCTGGTGGGATGTAAGATGGCACAGCCGCCCGGAAAACAGGTTGGAGATCACTCAAACAGGTTGGAGATCACTCACGCCGGGCTGGTGGGATGTAAGATGGCACAGCCGCCCGGAAAACAGGTTGGAGATCACTCACGCGGGGCTGGTGGGATGTAAGATGGCACAGCTGCCCGGAAAACAGGTTGGAGATCACTCAAACAGGTTGGAGATCACTCACGCTGGGCTGATGGGATGTATGATGGCACAGCCACCCGGAAAACAGGTCGGAGATCACTCACGCGGGGCCGGTGCGATGTAAGATGGCACAGCCGCCCGGAAAACAGGTTGGAGATCACTCACGCCGGGCTGGTGGGATGTAAGATGGCACAGCCGCCCGGAAAACAGGTTGGAGATCACTCACGCGGGGCTGGTGGGATGTAAGATGGCACAGCTGCCCGGAAAACAGGTTGGAGATCACTCAAACAGGTTGGAGATCACTCACGCCGGGCTGATGGGATGTATGATGGCACAGCCACCTGGAAAACAGGTCGGAGATCACTCACGCGGGGCCGGTGCGATGTAAGATGGCACAGCCGCCCGGAAAACAGGTTGGAGATCACTCACGCCGGGCTGGTGGGATGTATGATGGCACAGCCGCCCGGAAAACAGGTTGGAGGTCACTCACGCCGGGCTGGTGGGATGTACGATGGTACAGCCGCCCGGAAAACAGGTTGGAGATCACTCACGCCGGGCTGGTGGGATGTAAGATGGCACAGCCACCCGGAAAACAGGTTGGAGATCACTCACGCGGGGCTAGTGGGATGTAAGATGGCACAGCCGCCCGGAAAACAGGTTGGAGATCACTCAAACAGGTTGGAGATCACTCACGCCGGGCTGGTGGGATGTAAGATGGCACAGCCGCCCGGAAAACAGGTTGGAGATCACTCACGCGGGGCTGGTGGGATGTAAGATGGCACAGCTGCCCGGAAAACAGGTTGGAGATCACTCAAACAGGTTGGAGATCACTCACGCGGGGCTGATGGGATGTATGATGGCACAGCCACCCGGAAAACAGGTCGGAGATCACTCACGCGGGGTCGGTGCGATGTAAGATGGCACAGCCGCCCGGAAAACAGGTTGGAGGTCACTCACGCCGGGCTGGTGGGATGTAAGATGGCACAGCCGCCCGGAAAACAGGTTGGAGATCACTCACGCCGGGCTGGTGGGATGTAAGATGGCACAGCCGCCCGGAAAACAGGTTGGAGATCACTCACACGGGGCTGGTGGGATGTATGATGGCACAGCCGCCCAGAAAACAGGTTGGAGGTCACTCACGCCGGGCTGGTGGGATGTAAGATGGCACAGCCGCCCGGAAAACAGGTTGGAGATCACTCAAACAGGTTGGAGATCACTCACGCCGGACTGGTGGGATGTTAAGATGGCACAGCCGCCCGGAAAACAGGTTGGAGATCACTCAAACAGGTTGGAGATCACTCACACCGGGCTGGTGGGATGTAAGATGGCACAGCCACCCGGAAAACAGGTTGGAGATCACTCACGCCGGGCTGGTGGGATGTAAGATGGCACAGCCGCCCGGAAAACAGGTTGGAGATCACGCACGCGGGACTGGTGCGATGTAAGATGGCACAGCCGCCCGGGAAACAGGTTGGAGATCACTCACGCCGGGCTGGTGGGATGTAAGATGGTACAGCCGCCCGGAAAACAGGTTGGAGATCACTCACGCCGGGCTGGTGGGATGTAAGATGGTACAGCCGCCCGGAAAACAGGTTGGAGATCACTCACGCCGGGCTGGTGGGATGTAAGATGGTACAGCCGCCCGGAAAACAGGTTGAAGATCACTCACGCCGGGCTGGTGGGATGTATGATGGCACAGCCGCCCGGAAAACAGGTTGGAGGTCACTCACGCCGGGCTGGTGGGATGTAAGATGGTACAGCCGCCCAGAAAACAGATTGGCGATCACTCAAACAGGTTGGAGATCACTCACGCCATACTGGTGGGATGTTAAGATGGTACAGCCGCCCGGAAAACAGGTTGGAGATCACTCACACGGGGCTGGTGCGATGTAAGATGGCACAGCCGCCCGGGAAACAGGTTGGAGATAACTCATGCGGGGCTGGTGGGATGTAAGATGGTACAGCCGCCTGGAAAACAGGTTGGCAACTTCTTAACAAACTAAACATGCAATCACCATCAGACCCGGCAACTTCAGGTCAGGGTGTTCATTCCGGAGAAAACGAAGACCGACATTCACAAGAAAACTTGTACACAACCGTTTGTAGTAGCTTTATTAATAATGGTCAAAAACTGGAAGCTACCGAGTTGACCTTGAACACGGGTACGGTTAAGCAGATGGTAGTAGCCCACACTATGGCATATACTCTGCAGTGAAAAGGAACAAGCTATGGGCACACACACCACGGCCTGAAGAAACCTTCAGAGAGTGGCCCTGGTGAAGGGAGTCCAGACCAAAAGGTTGTACACCATAAGATTCCATTTAAACAACATTCTTGAAATGATCCAAGTACAGTAATGGAGACCCTATGGGGGCCGAGAAGGAGGCAGGGATGGGAGGGAAGTTCGGTGGCTTGAGAGGGAGCAGAAGGTCCTGTGGGGGTGGACACCTGTGCCTGGGCCACGAGTCAGCATCCTGATATTGTCCCCTAATTGTGCAAGATGCGACCACTGAGGCCAGGCGCGGTGGCTCACGCCTGTAATCCCAGCACTTTGGGAAGCCGGGGTAGCTAGATCACCTGAGGTCAGGAGTTCGAGACCAGTCTGACCAACATGGTGAAACCCCGTCTCTACTAAAAATGTCAAAAATTAGCCAGTCGTGGTGGTGGGCACCTGTAATCCCAGCTACTTGGGAGGCTGAGGCACGAGAATCTCTCTAACCTGGGAGGCGGAGGTTGCAGGGAGCCGAGATCATGTCACTGTACTCCTGCCTGGGTGACAGAGCGAGACTCTCAAAAAAAATAAAAAATAAAGCCGGGCACGGTGGCTCAAGCCTGTAATCCCAGCACTTTGGGAGGCTGAGACGGGCGGATCACAAGGTCAGGAGATCGAGACCATCCTGGCTAACATGGTGAAACCCCGTCTCTACTAAAAAATACAAAAAAAAAAACTAGCCGGGCGAGGTGGCGGGCGCCTGTGGTCCCAGCTACTCCGGAGGCTGAGGCAGGAGAATGGCGGGAACCCGGGAGGCGGAGCTTGCAGTGAGCTGAGATCCGGCCACTGCACTCCAGCCTGGGCGACAGAGCCAGACTCAGTCTCAAAAAAAAAAAATAAAAATAAATAAATAAATAAAAAATAAAAATAACAAGACGCAACCATTGGGGAAAACTGGGTAAAGGGTGAACAAGACCTCTCTGTATTATTCCTTACAAATGCATGTGAAGCTACAATTATCTCAAAATTAACAGTTTAATTTTAAAAACCAGGCAGCGTGGCTTGGTATTTGGAGCTGCCTTTGACCGTGTGTGAGCTGAATGAATGCACACCATGGGTCCCACCAGCAGGGAGGAGCGCAGGAAGCTTGGAGGTGGGCTGCGGAGGGCGGCCGGCAGTGGGAGCGACTCCGGGCCCGAGGACCTCGCTCTCGGGGGTCTCCTGTGCTGCCCTCCTCAGGTCCAGGGTCCACTATCACACTGCCAGGAGTTGCAGCGTGGCAAGTTTTCAACCACTTTTGTTTGATTTGTTAATTTAAAAAGCATTTCATTAACTTCATGATTTGGGAGTTTTTACGTTTAAAGAAGAAACCGGTATTCCTCAGTCAATGGAGAAAATCGGAGACTCCGCAGCCTCCTCCTTCCAGGGCGAGAGAACGTTTTGTTCTGTCGTAGCAGGCTGTCACTTCTTCGTCCTTCCTGGTACTGCGTGGTGTGTCCTGACTGCCTGGGACGGGGTTGCGATGGCCTCAGAATATGTGGGTCATCCAATGGCCATCCTGCCGCCAAGAGCCACAGCACGTTTGCTGTCTGTCTTGCTGAATGGAACTGTGCCTTGTATCTTCCATGCCTGAAGGAAGCAGAACAGAACTTTGTTTGTTGGCAAGAACCGGCAATACACACAGATGACGAAACGCTGCCTTTCTTCCTTGTCAGTCTGAAATAGGTTTACTTCTGGAGAGTGGCAGATACAAGTGCTTCCGGCTGGGCGCAGTGGCTCATGCCTGTAGTCCCAGCACTTTGGGAGGCCGAGGTGGGTGGATCGCCTGAGGTCAGGAGCTCCAGACCAGCCTGACCAACATGGTGAAACCTTGTCTCTACTAAAAATACAAAAATTAGCCAGATGTGGTGGCACGTGCCTGTAATCCCCGATACTCAGGAGGCTAAGGCATGAGAAATTGCTTGAACCCAGGAGGCGGAGGTTGCAGTGAGCCAAAATTGTGCCACTGCATTCCAGCCTGGGCAACAGAGCAAGACTCTATCTCAAAAGAAAAAAAAAATGTTTCAGAGTCAAAAGTATAGAAGTTCTCATGGCCAAGTACCTTTGACTTAAGTTCTCATCACTAACTGTTTTCCACAAAGAAGAGGGAGGGTGGCAAGGAGGAGGAGGGAGATGAACTTTTAAGATAAAAAAACTAATATAACTGCTCTGTTCAGTCACAATAGTTTCTAGATCAGTATTTCATTCAACAAATGGAAGAAACAAGCCCCAAGGAAGTTAAATAACTTGCCAAAAGTTAGAGAGAGAGAGGGGTCCCCCAACCCCAGTCATGTTACCACACTGAATTAGAAGACAAAGTTTAAAGGAAAGGCCTGTTCCCTAACCCTATGAGATTCTTTCATAACTGGAGAAACAGAAACTGCCACTCTAATCAACATAAAAGTGAATCAGGAAAGTAAGTTGCTTACCTTTCTACATCCTTTTGGACAAATGTCACTTTAAAAATCACGATTGGCCAGGCGAGGTGGCTCAAGCCTGTAATCCCAGCACTTTGGGAGGCCGAGACGGGCGGATCACGAGGTCAGGAGATCGAGATCATCGTGGCTAACACGGTGAAACCCCGTCTCTACTAAAAAATACAAAAAACTAGCCGGGCAAGGTGGCGGGCACCTGTAGTCCCAGCTACTCGGGAGGCTGAGGCAGGAGAATGGTGTAAACCCAGGAGGCGGAGCTTGCAGTGAGCTGAGATCCGGCCTCTGCACTCCAGCCTGGGGACAGAGTGAGACTCCGTCTCAAAAAAAAAAAAAATCACGATTATCCCTAATCAGACAATTTAAGAATCTTTGTATTTTCACTTTAGAGCCAGCTGATGTTAATTGGCGTAGAACATGCAGCTCCTAGAAAGTTTCCTGCAGAAGGGAAAGGGGTGTAAAGGCCTCCCCAAAAATTTTCGGACAGACTGCAAAATGTTTAAAAGGCCATTTTTATGTTTACTAGTGGATTTTCAGTAATCTGTGATGTGGTATCAACCAAAAAACGATAAATGTGAAAAAGTGGCAGCAAATAATATCCCTAGAGAGACCTTTTTTCCGGGATTTATCCTGTGGTAATTGAGTTTTTCCTGGCTGTAAGTTAACTTCAATTCTAGATGTTAAGAAGGTTCACAGACACACCGCTGCATAGGGTATGAGTCTACTCCGCCTGCCGTCACAAAACACCACAGGCTGGGCTTACGTTCTCGCAGCTCTGGAGGCTGGGAGTCTGAGACCAGGGGGCTGTCAAGGCTGTTTCTGCTGAGTGCCTCTCCCTGGCATGCGGATGGCAGCTTCTCGCAGTGTCTTCCAATGACAGAGGGCTTTGCTGTCTCTTCCTATAAGGACACAATCCCACTGGGTCAGGGCCCCACCCTCAGGACCTTAACGAACTATAAATACTTCCTTATTCGAAAGAGAGGCACGGTGGGTGTGACGGCATCAACACATGAATTTGTGGAGGGACACATACATTCAGTTTGTAACAGATAGTAAGGCTAAAATGTCTTTTTTTTTTTTTTTCTGAGACGGAGTCTCACTCTGTTGCCCACGCTGGAGTGCAGTGGCACGATCTGGGCTCACTGCAAGCGCCTGTAATCCCCGCTACTCGGGAGGCTACGGCACAAGAAATTACTTGAACCCAGGAGGGTTCACGCCATTCTCCTGCCTCAGCCTCCTGAGTAGCTGGGACTACAGGCGCCCACCACCACGCCCGGCTAATTTTTTTGTATTTTTAGTAGAGACGGGGTTTCACGGTGTTAGCCAGGAGGATCTCGATCTCCTGACCTTGTGATCCGCCTGCCTCGGGCTCCCAAAGTGCTGGGATTACAGGTGTGAGCCACCGCGCCCGGACCATGTCTCTTTTTTTTGAGACAGAGTCTCACTGTCGCCCAGGCTGCAGGGCAGTGGTGTGATCTCGGCTCACTGCAACCTCTGCCTCCTGGGTTCAAGCGATTCTCATGCCTCAGCCTCCCGAATAGCTGGGATTACAGGTACCTGCCATAACGCCCAGCTAATTTTTGTATTTTTAGTAGAGACGAGGTTTCATCATGTTGGCCAGGCTGGTCTCAAACTCCTGACCTCAAGTGATCCACCTGCCTTGACTTCCCAAAGAGCTGAGATTACAGGGGTGAGCCACTATGCCCAGCCTTAAAAATTTCTTCAAATTATTTTTAAAATACATTTATAAAATATGAATTATAAACATGGTTACAATCTATGCTTATATTTTTTGTAACATGTAAAACATTGGAAACATTTTAAAATCCATAAACACAAGTATCGACAAACACTTCTTGAATTCCAAATTGCTAACACTTGTTAAAGGCTATCAGCAATTTACTGGCCACTAATTGTAAGTACGACTTGGACTGTAATGCACTCCTGAGATTCACAGTGTCGGAGAATCAGCCTTTAGACGCCAACTTGAACCAACCATTTAGGGACTGGATTTAATTAGAAATCAAAGAACACCAGAAACAGAAACTGGAACTTAGGGCCAGGACTTCAAGATGGGAAACCGGAACTCAAAGCTGAAGGCAGCAGGAAAAGTGAGTCACGGGCAGACACCAGGGCAGGGCGGGGGCAACGCCCAGACACACGTGAGGCTGAGAGCAGATGCCCACAGCCGGAGTTTGCCCTGGCACTGGCGCTGGCAGGAAAGGAGTGCTGTTTCCCCAACGCTGGCTGAGTGGCAGGCACGTAGGCTATGCTGTTTCTTCACACCTACAGCAGCATTGCAACGCAAGGTCCGTCCCCACATAGATGGCGAAGCAGAGACTTGGTGACAGGGCAGGGGCGAGCTGGGGGTTGAGATGCAAACCCAAATCTGCCAGCTCCAAGATCCCCCCTCCAACCTCTTCTAAGAGCCATACCCCAGGCTGATGATGTTGCGTGAAGATGTCCAGGTTCTCCTTGTGGTGAAAACCAACTGACTACCTTCCCAGGAAACAGGTCTCACTATCCAGGCCTTGAATACGATTGTCTTTAATTGTCTTTAATAGGAATATTTAGACTTCCCCACCTACGATTTAGGTAACTGTTGATACAAACGTCGCCACCATTTGGAGGTTGGTAGCAGGTGAATGTTGAAGTTTTGGTCCTCAGCTACACGGTGACAAGTGTGTAAATAATTCGTGCAGCCAATGTTCAGTACTTTATCGAGAATTCTAAAGAAACAGACAAGTGTGACCTCAAAATTCAATGTGTCTCTGGTTCATTTCTTCCTAATTCCCTTTGTTATGCACCAGTAAGCCCTCTTTTTCTTTTTGAATCATGCTATTCATGTTCTTCCGTATTTTCTGCAGTCCTGTAGGGTGGAGACTGCAGCGAGCTTCGA